GTTGCCTTGGCAACAGCTATTAAACCAGAAAAAGGGTATGACATTTATTTAGCATCCTGGATAAAGCTGACATCTCATTATTACTGTCTGTCTGCCACGACTCCTGAGTGGAGAGAGACAAAACAGCAGACTACGCCTCGACTGCCGCTGCAGGATGGGAGGTGAGGATTGCCCATCGGTGTGCCGGTTAAACCGCTCGGCCGGCAGATGGGAGCTTCCTTCCGGAGACCGCTGTGGCCTCCGCAGGCTGTCGCTGCACATGAGCATCTTCCACGCTGGCATTCAGTACCCGTCTCTCCCTTTGCTCTTCCTCCTGGGGCTGCGTGCTCAAAGAAAGTGCAGCTTGTGCCTAGGGCGGGAGAGCTGAGGGTTGTGACGTGTCCTTCTGCTGGCTTTTTGGTAAATCAACGTATTGTACGAGGGTTTGGTGAATGCAAGTAAAGGTTGAAGGAGAGAGGTGATGTATGGGGAAAGCCCTTCTGACCTGGTGAAGTGCCACCCGCTGATGCGTCACGGTGCCGTGACGTGGGTGCTGGGCACAGTCTGGTACCTCTCCAGCAGCGCTTTAGCGAGGGCAGTGCTGACGCAGAGCAGAGATTTTTTTTTTTTTTCTGGTGGTCTCATTGCTCTGGGCTCCGCCTCGGGACGTCGGTGTGGATGTGGGGGGTTGCACTTTCCTTCGGGGTTCTCCCAGCTCGGTGCCTGCTGGAAGTGGGGAGACCCGGCAGGGGCTTTGGTCCAGTGCGGTGGGGCTGTTTGTGCGCTGCCGCGCAGGTGGGTGAGTTCCGTGTCAGACCCCTGCTCTGCGCCCTCTCCACCTGCGTTTTGTTTGGTTAGGATTGAAAAAAACGCCTGGGGCAACATGACCCCAGAGGTGATGTAGCTCATTATTTAGCAGCATCCCTGAAGATGGGAATTGGTGGGGCGTTCTTTTGCCTGTTGCTCCCTGCTCATTAGGCCCATTTTGCTTTTGTTTTTCCTTCCTCTCCTAGACTGATTTCAGGATAAGTCAGGAGCTTGTGCAGACTCCAAGGAGTAGTAGAAAGGACCAACTGCAGAAATCTCCTTTTTTTTTTTTCTTCCACTCCTGGAATTTTTATCTTTCACAAAACTGCGTATTCTCATTTTATTAAACCATGTCTAGTTTTGCTTCAGCCATGGTTTTGTGTGATCTGCTGTGGTCCTCAGGTGCAGGTGAGCTCTACTGTGACTGGGGACAGCCATGGATGATACTTGGGAAGCCACACAACATCTGTCCTCCTAGTGCGATAGCTGAAGGAATAAAATATTGTGAAGACAAGGTCTGCTTAGACAAGGTAGATAAACAGTAAATCCAAATTACCAAAAGCACCACAATGAGCAAATGGACTTCGATATTTGTTTGATGCCATTGTTAATACATTTTTATTTTTAATAAGATTTACAGGTTGAATATCAGTTATCACCATGTCCCCCTGCCAAATGGTTATAATAAATCAAACTAATCCCGAAAGCTGCAAAATTGACTATTTGTCAGCAGACTGCAATGGAAGGAGTGGAAATAGGACTTTCTGAGGAATTCTGTTTCCTGTTATGCACGATAAGAAGCATAACTAAATCCTCTCTGATTTTTTTTGAGCTTTTATCAGATGGAATGAGGCTTCTTTAAAAACTCAGAGCCTGAAATACCCAGGTTTAAAAGGGTGTTGAATTCTCAATTAAAAATATTCTTCTTGCAACCCATACTCTTCCCTTTGTTTTGCAAGTTTCATTTTTAATAGAGGTGAATCCTGTAGCGTGTTTTTGACTGCCTCCAGGTAATTGCCTTGCGTACAAAAATAGGTGGGGAAGCAGGTGTCACCCGGGAAATACAGGCTGTGCTACGCCATGCCTGGAAAACGAGTTGTGCGAAAAGCTGAATGGAATATGAAAGTAAACAGTTGCCTTGCTGATTATTCTGCAACAACTTAGTTTATGTTTAACTTGCCATTCAGCAGGTAGCTTTAAGTCTTTTACTCGTCGATAGCTGCTGTGTCTGTATCGAACATTTTGCTGCCTGTTCTTAGATTTTTTTTAAAAAAACTGTTATTGATTGACCACAACCTGCTTGCTTGCTGGTGTCCTGCGGTCTTCTATCGGCTATATTGTTTATTTTTTAATAGCTTGGATGGTTGTCACTGCTTAGCTGTTGACTAATTCCATCATCTTATATCATAGGGACAACAGTCAGTCTGTCTTCCTCCCACCCTGTAAATGAGGTGCCCCCGCTACGCAGCCATATTGTCTGGTTCGTGGCTAAGTAACGCAGAGTGACTGGTAAGAGCAATATTTTTGCAGCTTGGGTTTGTTTTTCTGGAGCGTGTCTGTACGCCTGCGGTTCCAAAATATCAGACTGCGGGTGTCAATGCCAGCTATTTCATTCTGGATTGGTAGAAAATTGTAAATTAATTTAGTGTTATTAGGATTTGAAAAATTAATGTTGATAGCTTTAAATGTTCTCAAGGCCAATTTAAAAAAAAAAAAAAAGGGCCTTTGTGTAGCTGTCAAAACTGTTCAGGCAAAATGAAGATGAGGATGATAAGCTGCAGGTTTGTAATGAAAGCTGCTGTTTGCAGAGGGACCGTCTGATGTCTCTCAAGCACCCAGGTCAGCCTTTTTCAAATGTTCCTATATCAAAAGTAAACAGATGGCTTTAATGCAGCATTTCTCGATTGCCTGCATCGATCTCTTCTGAAAAGAGTATTACTAATCGCTGGGGACCATTTTCTCTCCTTTTGAAGATAAAAGCAGGGGTGTGTAGAAGTGCTCTCATCCTCCAGAAACCCCTGGCTGCATCTTTCATACCCAGAAGAGGTTTCGTGCCGCTTGCTTTTGTCCTTCATCTTCCTTCTCAGCGTTCGGGGAGACGAGCCCTGTATGCCAGAGGAGCCTCCTTCCTCCCCACCCAGCCTCTCCTCTCTGCTGCCAAAATGTCATCCTCCTCCCCTTGTGGCGTCCCGGCTGTTGCCATGGAAATACCTGTTTTCGCACAGATTCAGGACTTCAAAGCAATTCGGGGCTGGAGTTGCACCTGGTTTCAGTGCAAATAGTGTCAGTCTTTGCCGTGTTTGCTAATTGAATCCAAAACGCTTGTCAGCGTAACATTTAGCACCTTGGGAAACAGCAGCTTTGTGGTGTGATGGGTGCAGAACAAAACAGGGTAAAGCTTTGAGATCAGGCGTTGAAAACAGAGAAATGACTAAAGTTTTTCCTGAAACGTTGCAGCGTCTTTATTGAGCATCTTACAGCGAGCAGTACCAGCAGTGCCAACAGATGGCATGGAAATTTGCGTTTGACAAGCACAACAGGAATAGAATCAGCTATTACATGATCTTGCGTGATCTTAAATTAGTGTTGCATGTACGGATTTTTGGCCAAAAGTTGTTGCCCTGTGAAGAAATTCTGATGCAAAATACCGTCAGCAAATACACGTCACTGGGATCATCCTTGTTTCCCCCAGGGTACAATATTGCATTATGGACCCTTCCATTTAACGTCTTTTTGATTTCTTTCCGAGCAAACTGTCCAAATATTCAGAGTTTATATGCATTAACACCTTCTTCCTCCTTAATCCCTCAAGGAAACTCAGCCCGGTTCCCAACCGTGAGCACACGTGGTTCCTGGGGAAGGTCTGCTGGCTGCCCTCAAAATCCCACGCGTGTCACATGGATGGTACCCCAGCTGCGGAAGGTGCTATGTTTTATTTAGTAAGCGGGGATAAATAATTAAATAAGACTTTTAGAAAAGCCAAAGGTCTCAGTGGGTAGGATTGCGATCAATGTTTCCGTGGCAGCAAGAATGCGGAGCTGTCGAACGGCACGGGAAGGGTCTGGTGCCGTTCGAGCTGTCCCCACGCTGTCCTCCTGCGGTGCGAGGGGGCTGTGTTCTCCGTTGCTCCACCGAAATGGCTGGTGAGAGTCCCTGAAGTCTCTGGGTATAAACAGTGCGTGTACTCTGAAGCTGGCAGTATTTTAACCGATTGGAGCACAATTGGAATTATTTAATGGTCAGCTGGTAAAGTCTTAGGTAAGTGGCAGAGCTTGGCTGCAACTCGTGATGGTGCTGGAAAAGTCTGTGTGGTGCCTGCTTTTGGAATAATCGGGGTGTTTGTTGCTGGAAAGGTAAGAAACTGCATCTTGCAACACTGAGTTTGATAGTGTGAATTTTATAAACGAGTCTGCTAAAAGAGGATGTTGTGGCTTTGTCGGCTGAAGCGAAAGGGCGATAGCCAGACATTTCATTTTCAAATGAGAAGATACGTCTGCTTCGTGAGGGGTGTTGGGCTGAGAAGTTCGGCTTTAGCAGAAAAGGTGACTTAGCTGCAGCACAGGTGGTGCGATTGGAGGTACTGGTTTTTCTATCCACCATCCCCAGTGCGCTGTGCATCTGCTTCACCAAGTGGTCCTTTAGCATTTTATAATACCTGAGAAGTGATACTACGGTACATGGACACGACTTACACGGTGTATAGGAAACTGTTTCCTGTCGAGCTTAACCAGAGCTTATTCCTGGAAAGAGACCTCAATTTGGAGAAGCAATTAAAGAAATGCTCAGAGTACATCAAGGAGTGCCCACGTGGACTTGTTGCGCCAAACCAAACATGTAAAATAGGATTTTTAAGTGCTAGAATTAACTTCCAAATACATAATCAAGGCAACACTTAAAGACTGCAATGAGAATGAGAAAACACGAGCTCATAAAAGAATTTGAAAAGCGAACACACAAAAGCAAACCAAGTTTAAAGCCTATATCATCAACGTGGAGCTTGTTTTGTTGGGTTTTTTTTTTTAGTTTAATTTTGGGTTTTTTGTTAAACATGTAGAAGAGCAGATTAAACAAGTTCATGGAAAGGAAATGCACTGAGGTTTAGTGAGGAGACTTGAATGACCAGCGGCAGTTGTAGATCCTGAACACGGCGCTCATTTGTGCTGGGTGCCCATTGGGTTGCCCTTTCGGAATCCCTGCGTGTTTACTTGGGATAGCAGCCATCTTCCTGCGGTCTGTTAAAAGAGATGCGATGGAGGAGGGATCTCCGAGGCTCCTCCTGCGGGCGCAGGGCTCTCTCAGAGCTATGGCGGTGCTGCCGGGGAGCAGACTAGTTTTGCCTGGCAGCGTGATGGCAAGTGCGTGGTCACTGTCCTCGGCGAGGTGGAGCCTGAGAGGATACCGGCAGCGCAGCTGCGCCGCGCTGGTGGTGCATCATCTCATCCTACCCAAGTCCTTGGCATCCCGTGCAGAGGTAGACGTTCAGAGGTAGCAGAAGACATCTTAATTTCCACTATATTTTTTACTGTACATCTTTTCTTTTCAGGATGTGGGTTACATGAACATTCAGCAGAAGGTCTTAACTGTTGCTGGGCGAACCAAATCGATAGCAGTTTCTAAAAACACACTTCTGCGAAGACCAACTCAATCACTGGAGGCATTTATTTTCTTGCAACTTTTATTTATATGAAGTGACTGTCTTTGTGGAAAGTCCCACTACAGGGGCTGAAATCAGACCTGGTCCTGGTCTCACCTCACCTCGGCCGTGTGTGCTTCGGCGTCTGGCTGTTTTGCCCCTTTGGAGGGGGAGAGAGGAGTCTGAGCACCCGGCGCTTGGCCTCGCTGCTCCGTTACCTGTGTGTCTCCCTACCAGAGGCCGTCTTCCAGGGTGCTGTCTCCGGCACCCGCCAGACTGGGTCTGCCAAACAGGCCCGTATCTGGGAGCATCACCGCAGCCGTGTTGCACGGAGCTCGCTATTCTGCAGCCCTTTTGGCGAAGTGACCAAGCTCCACCTCAAAAGAAGACTGGGAAAAGGATCAAGCTGGGGACTCCGTTTGCATCTGGCTTGCTATAAACAATTCCAGAGTTACCAGTGTGGCCAAATATATGGGAGATGCTGTGCTTCAATACAAATTGCCGTAATAACCAGCGAAAGGCTTTGCAAGAAGCACGGCAGGGAAAATTGTGACTATAAACATCACTGAATAATAAAGGTTGTAGGGTGACTTGCCTGGGAAAATCCAGCCAGGTAAACCAGAGTCGTGAGTCAATATTGCCTTAGACTAATTAAACCCGGAGATATTGGTTGGCTCCTGATCTCTGCACCTCAGTGGTTATTGTAACTGCTGTAATATTTGGCTTGCTCCGCCAATGTAAATGACAGCTGGGACTGGGTACGGTTATGAAGCTCTGTTACGGGAAAATTGGACTTTGAGGTGAAGCATAACCCTGGGAATTTCGTAGCAGAGAGATCTAAGCCTTCATCCCTCGTAGGGGTCTGGGGGCTGTTGGGTGGGTAAGGTTCTGTTTTCATTGGGTTTTGAAGGGGGGGGGCAAAAAGCAGTTTGTCAAACAAAATTTTACTAGCAGTATTTGAGCTGGGATGGAGCTGGCCGGGCCCAGGGGAGCCGAAGGAGAGGCTGAGACCTCTGCGACCGGGAGCCTCACTGGAGGTACGGGGGTGCAAGCTCAAATCCCTGGTCTGAAGCGGGTGTGCTGGGATTGCTGACACTCCTGATGAATGCCATGACCCAAGGACTCTTCTCAATGCCTGTGGCTCTTCGATCTGGCTTTGGAGACAGGGCAAGGAGGAAAAGAAATTGTTTTCCTTGTAATTCAGACATGTATATGAAGCAAAGAAGGGCTAGCTCGCTTGTTCACGCACAGGTCAGTGATTCAGACAGTAATGTCAAGACTAGCCTGTCTTCTGTTGTCTGTTTGGAACTGCAATTAATGCTGTTGAGCTTGTGTGGGCGCCTTGTTGTGGGGTGTCCCTGGGACACTGCTCTCCTGGACCAGGGGGTGACTTGTCCCGTGCCCACAGCTGGAGCCAAGAGGAGGGGTTCTTTGCTGTGGAACACTTTGTGATACTCCTCTTGAGTTTACCTACAGCTAGATTATTAGTTGCTGTTTTAATTTCCTTTCTAATAAAAGAGGAGCAAACATCTCATTTTCCTTAGACTGGCTTTGGATAAAGAGTGGGCAGCTTCATTTGTTGAGATTGTTCTGGCTACAATATGAGAATTAGCATTAAAATGCCGGAATGCAGCACATTCAGAGGCTGTTCAAGTCTTCTCTCTGGAGCGAGCCAAACGCGGGTTAGCTGGCGTTCTCCATCCCCGCAGTGTCACAAACCCGCTGCGCTTTCAGGAGGGGATCCGGGAGCACGGCGGCAGATGGCTGCTGTGGCGTTTGTCATCCCGGACGGCTGTGGGGGGTCCGGGGTGCGGGTGGGAGAATCCTTCGGGATCTGCGGACAGCAGCACAGGAAACCTGTCAAGGGTTCTCTGGGTCGGAGCTGCCCTACAGACGCCAGCCGTGTCCACTTGTGGGCAAGTGTAAGATTGCTTTGTTTGAAAATTTTCTCAGTATAAAACTCATTTTCTATTAGGAGACTGTATTTATCTGCCTGGCCCTACCTGTTGGGGCTTTCTCTTTATTGTGTAGCTGCTCCCAGTCTGCTCTAGCCCTTCGTGTCAGGTGAGTGCCCTTGTGGCAATGCCCTTTCCACTTCTATTTCTTTAGATATCTTTGACTTATTTTGTTTAGTGTGATAACCTCAATCAATACAGTGCATTTTTTTTTTCTTTTAATGAGTAATTTTCCACTAAACCGCATCTCTTGGAAGGGGTTTTTTTTGTGTTCCTTGAGAGTGCAGGTGGTTTGTGCTGTGTTGGCACCAAGATGCACGGTGAGAGCCGGACCCCGCTGTGCCGGTCGCTGCACCGGCAACGAGTGACCATCTGGTCCCTGCCCCAGCGACGGCCGTCCTGCGGTAGGTGTGACTGCGGGCGCTGCGTCGGAGCAGTGAGACGACGGCGTGCGCGAAAGGTGGCTGACAAATATTTGAATATACTGCTTTAATTTGAATATGCTCCTATTTTTAATCAGAAGCTGGTAACGAACTGGGGGCATTGATTCCCAAGTGTGTTTCAGGGGGTTTAATATACGGATTCTCGGTTTACGCTTGTGAGTGATTCATAGAGAGCCTGAATTCCCTGGTGGCTCCTGATCACAATGTTGCTTGAAGAAATTTCACATCCTGAGAACTGATGACCTGATTGGAGTTTTAAAACCCCCACTTTTTTTTTTTTTTTTTTTTTTTTTTTTAAGCAATATCTGCCATGGTTAGCAGCACGGCCCCACGAGCAGTTGTATCCCTTCAAGGGAGGCAGGAACATGCCCCTGGGACCACGAGCAGACCGCTGTGGCCATGAGGGTACATTTTATATCCCTGTGCTCATCGTTTTCTGGTGGATGAGTTGGATAAGTGAGGGAGGAGTGCCCAGGACCCGCCGACAGAGGAAGCTCAGCCCAGCCAGGTGAGGGCCATGGGCCATCTGGGCGAAGGCAGCTCACCCTGCAGGCAGAGCCGAAATCTGGGGATTCCCTGCGGGCCCCAAGACATGCGTCGCTGGGCTTCTGCCAGGGCTGCAACAAGGGGGTGATCAGTGGTGGTTCTTGGGCCGATCGGGGTGTCTGAAGGAGGGGTTGGCATGTCTTTGTGGGACACTTGTAATGTCAAGTGGAGGAAAAGGAGGAACTCTGTTCTGGTGTGCGCCTGGCCACTGGTTGCCGGTGGACGAGAGGTGTGTGCTTCCCGTCTCTGGTTCACCACTGTGGCCATGGTCAAGGGATACGTCTCACTATAATGACAGGCTGAGAGAGTTGGGGGTGTTCAGCCTGGAGAAGAGAAGGCTTCAGGGAGACCTTAGAGCCCCTTCCAGTATTGGAATGGTGCCTACAAGAAGGCTGGGGAGGGACTTCTTCTAAGGGCATGTAGTGATAGGACGAGGGGTAATGGCTTCAAACTGGGAGAGGGCAGATTTAGATTAGATATTAGGAAGAAATTCTTCCCTGTGCGGGTGGTGAGCCCCTGGGGCAGGTTGCCCCGAGAAGCTGTGGCTGCCCCATCCCTGGAGGGGTTCAAGGCCAGGTTGGACGGGGCTTGGAGCGACCTGGGCTGGGGGGAGGTGTCCCTACCCAGGGCAGGGGGTGGCACTGGGTGATCTTCAAGGTCCCTCCCAACCTAAACCATTCTATGATGATTCTATGATAAAGCAGCAAATGGAATAGAGGGACTTTGTTCCTGTTGCTGGGACTTGGTCCTGGTGGAAGAGCACCAGTGCTGGGGGTACTTGGGTTGCTTGCTCTGATAGTCCTTGGCTCCTCAGGCTCCTCTGAGCTACTGGTGGGGAGTAGCCAGGGAGTCCTGGGAGCTTCTCCGAGGCTGGAGTCTGCAGCCTGCTTACCTGGCAGGTCTGACCTCCCATCTTGTGTCTGCAAAAATTATGCTCCTAATTTATGTGGGTTCCTATTTGTTTTCTTCCCATAATTGTGCCCCTGATGTGCAACCTACACGACAGCTTCCTTTTGATTAATTGCGCTGAAATGAGTGCCAGTGACGTGTCACGCGCAGTACAGACTCAGCAGTCGGAGGGCAGCGCTGATTGCATCGCTATGCAAATAGCATTTCTGGTCACATTTGGTGCCAGGTGATCATTGACTTTGGCATTGACGGATAGGTCATTTGGGACAGCTATGTCACATGAAATTTGTCAGATCCCCATAAAATGAAAGAACAATACTGTAAAAGCTTTGAAGATTTGGTTGCCTTTATTAAGTTGTCTTTTATCTGAATGATGCTTCATTCCTCCTATTAATTCTCTGCTCATAATTTCCCTACTTTGAAGTTTCTCAAAAGCAAAACATCCCTTTTTTATTACCTGACTTTGAAATAGCTGGTGATGCTTCATGGGACCTCTTGTGCCATTAGGGGCGATTAGAGAGCAGAGGAGGTTTCCTTATGGACACGAAACAAGGAGAACATCTCGTGCCCACGCCACTGCAGGTCTCCTTGCTCTGGTCTACAGCTGAAATTCGACGTTTTCCCTAACTGGGCCTCTGTTCAACAGGTGAAGCAGATCATGGAGGAGGCGGTGACGAGGAAGTTTGTGCACGAGGACAGCAGCCACATCATCTCCTTCTGCGGTGAGTCTCTGGTGGCGGGATGTTGACGTGAACTGGGGGCTGGAGCATCCTCTTCACGTTGGGCTTTCCCTGCCGGGCGCTGGGGCTGCAGTACGCGTGGTTCCTGGGAGCACGCTCCAGCTCTGGGGCGTTGTGCTGGGGCTGGGGAGGTGCTTAGTGCCAGAGGATGAGTTGTTCTGGCAGCGGTCTGAGTCCCCAGGGCCTTCGCTCTGGGCTTAAAATATATTGAGATGTGTCAAAAGAGGGAGGGATGTTGGCAGTGTATACAGTCACTTAAGAAATACTAGAAATAATAGTTTTTTTTCTTAATTCCCTTGATTCAACAGAGAGTCTGTTAAGTCCAAATACTTCTTTGCTGTTAAGGATAGGAATTTATGGAAGTGAGTCTTCAGTCTGCATGAGTGCAGGAGCAGGGAGGGTGGAGGCTGCTAAAGAATTTTAAATGGAGTTTGTGGAAGATATGTTCTGATATTGTGCAGGATTCGGGCTTGTTTTCTGGCAGCTGTGCTCTTCACTTAACCTGCTTTTTTCGCCTGTTTTTTTTTCCTACCGGTGTGAGAATTTTGTAAATGCAGAAGTGTTTCAGTATGGGTCCATCAAAATATTGACACAGTGTTTTTTAAAAACCTCTCTGAAGAGCTTCTGTCTGCGATACGTGCTGGAGGGACTCTGGGTGAGGACTGCGGAGCAGGACAGGAGGAGTACTTGTATCCCAAAGGTGGTGTGGAGCAGGAGAGGGCAGCCTTGTTCCTGGTGGCACATGGCACGAGTTTGAGACCAGGTCTCAGCATGCCGCCCGGTGCAGAGCTCCCAGGCCAGCGTGTCCCGGGAGGAGCGTTCGGGGCAGCCTGCCCGCTCCCATGGGGCAGCACGGTTTGCGGCAGCCCAAACTGCCACTGCGATCTGGTAATGCACGGCACGGCTGGTGAGCTTGCTTGGCAGCGGGGCCCAGGCTCCTCTCAGCAGCTGATCGGAACAGGGGAAGGTTTCTGCGGGCTGGAGAAGGTTTCTGGGGGCTGGAGAAGGTTTCTGGGGGCTGGACCAGCCCACAGAGCAGTGCTAATGGCCCAACACATTGGCTCCCCATCTCTTCTCTGACAGATGAAAACATAATTTCTCCCTTTGATAAGATCACTACTGATCATCAGAGGAGACTTTGCAATCAGGGTGGCAAAATTAGATTCTTCCAATTGTTTTGGCCTTTCTGTGCAGCTTTGGTCACCCATTCAAACAGGAGAATAAGTGTTTGCCTTGGACACGGTTAATGCCCCGGGTACAGCAGCTTCTTCAGCAGCTTTGGTTGTCCACTCTGCCAAGCGCTGCCAGCGTCAGCGTTTGCAAAAGTGGGGAGACCTGGCTGGTGGACTGCGGGGGGTGTTTGAATTTCAAACCCAGGCAGAAACGAATTAGTCTATTGATAGCAGGGCAAGCAGTTCAGGCTGTGGGATGAGTGAGGTGGTTGTAGCCCAGGAGCCCTGGCGTGGAACCAGCCCCTTCGTGCTCGGTGCTGTGTGGATAAGAAAAGTCCTCAGCCCCTCGGGGGTGCAGGTGGGATGGAGCTGGAGCCAGACGGAGCCTTCAAGGAAACAAAGGGACAGCATTAATCAGGCACGTGAGCTGTGGTTTCTGTGCCTCGGCAGCCCTGTCAGCGTCAAGTGTTTACCCACTCACCCAGAGCTCGAGAACGTGCTTTGGCAAGGTGCCTGGTGCCCTCCATCTGCCTCTGTCTCCTCACTAGCAGCTGTCTAAGAGATGGATACTGGTTTTGGGAGATACTAGTGACCGCTATGGAAGAAGAGCAAGTCCCCTGCTGTCCTCCAAATTGGCAGTAGACTTGCACCACGGTGGTTTTCCTGGGTGCTTTTGTTTTGGAATCCATTCGTAGCCTCCTCCCTTGGCAGTGTTACGTAGAGCAGCAGTCAGCATTGCACGGGACCGCTCTGCCAGACTCCTGCCAGCCACAGTGGTTCTCCCTCCAGGTGCTGCTCTTGGGGCCACGGGGGTGCAAAAGCTGTTGCTGCTGGTCACCGACAGCACTGGGCAAATGGTGGAGGTAGTTTGCCAAAGGTGGCCTGCTGAGGACTAGTGATTGTGCTGAGTGTCTTACCCTGTTGTGCTTCCCTGCTTGCGTGTGTGAAATGTGGATCCATCCACCAAAATCGGTGGAATTGCCCTCTCTGGGATGTTTCCTGAGTTTTATGAGACAAAGTTCCTACGCTGGACTCCTGATGGAAGTGCTGAGTTCCCTCTGCCCGCTGACTCCCAGGACAGGATGTCATTTTGTGGAGCGCAGCATCTGCCTCTGCCTGGAAGGGGCTTTTGGGGAGCGCGACGTGAGTGCCTGTGCCCCGGCAGAGCTCTGCCATGGGTCGAGGTCCCATCTGCATGTGGGTGCTGCCCTTTCTCCTGGCTCCGTCTGATCTCGCACGCTCACTGCCCGTGCCCTGCTGCTGAGAAAGCCGTGCCTCCCCGGCTGTTTAGCAGGCTGCGGTGATCTCCTGCCGCGCGTGTGCTCGCCTGCTGCCCTCTCCGTTTCACGCCTTTCTACTGAGAAGATGGACAGAGGCGGCATCATCACAGCTCTGCTGGAAGAAGCTATGCTCCCTCTCTGCCCACTCACCAATTTTGCAGCCCTGGCGCCTGTGCTGTCCGCCACGTGCCGGCTCTCGCCGCTCCCGGCTGCCGCGGGAGTGTCTCTTGGAAACCGCC